GCCTGCGAAACACCTCCTGCTACACTGCTGCGGCTGCTCTTACTGCTGCTGCTGGCGAACGCCTGCGAAACACTTCCCGGCAGTAAAACAGCATGGCCCTAAAGGACGAACCGATGCCAAAATCTCGTTTTTCGGGGCCGGAACGTCCCTTCTGAAATCCTACAAAAATATCATTTTTCCACCTTATTTCCACCTTGTTAAGAGCTGTTAAAAGCTGCTGGCTGGCTGCTAGCTGCTGCACTGCTCCGGCTGCTCTTACTGCTGCTGCTGGCGAACGCCTGCAAAACACCTCCCGGCAGTAAAACAGCATGGCCCTAAAGGACGAACCGATGCCAAAATCTACGTTTTTCGGAACCGGAACGTCCTTTCTGAAATCCTACAAAAATATCATTTTTCCACCTTATTTCCACCTTGTTAAGAGCTGTTAAAAGCTGCTGGCTGCTGCTGGCTGGCTGCTAGCTGCTGCACGGCTGCCGCTGCTCTTAGCCTGCTAAACACTTCCTGGCAGTAAAACTCCCTTCTGAAAGCCTACAAATCCTACAAAACTAGCATTTTTCCACCTTATCTGTCAAAAGCTGCTGGCTGGCTGCTAGCTGGCTGCTTTTACTGTTGCTGCTGGCGAACGCTTGCGAAACACTTCCCGGCAGTAAAACAGCATGGCCCCAAAGGACGAACTGATGCCAAAATCTACGTTTTTCGAGGCCGGAACGTCCCTTCTGAAATCCTACAAAAATATCAGATTCCATCTTATTTCAACCTTGTTACAAGCTGTTAAAAGCTGCTGGCTGCTGCTGGCTGGCTGCTAGCTGCTGCACTGCCAGCTGCGGCTGCTCTTACTGCTGCTGCTGGCGAACGCCTGCGAAACACCTCCCGGCAGTAAAACAGCATGGCCCTAAAGGACGAACCGATGCCAAAATCTACGTTTTTCGGGGCCGGAACGTTTGAAATCCTACAAAAATATCATTTTTCCACCTTATTCCACCTTTTAAGAGCTGTTACAAGCTGCTGGCTGCTGCTGGCTGGCTGCTAGCTGCTGGCTGGCTGCTAGCTGCTGCACGGCTGCCGCTGCTCTTAGCCTGTTAAACACCTCCCGGCAGTAAAACTCCCTTCTGAAATCTTACAAATCCTACCAAAATATCATTTTTCCACCTTATTTTCCACCTTGTTAAGAGCTGTTAAAAGCTGCTGGCTGGCTGCTAGCCGCTGCACTGCTGCCGCTGCTCTTACTGCTACTGCTGGCGAACGCCTGCGAAACACCTCCCGGCAGTAAAACAGCATGGCCCTAAAGGACGAACCGGTGCCAAAATCTACGTTTTTCGAGGCCGGAACGTCCCTTCTGAAATCCTACAAAAATATCATTTTTCCACTTTATTTCCACCTTGTTACAAGCTGTCAAAAGCTGCTGGCTGCTGGCTGGCTGCTAGCTGCTGCACTGCTGCGGCTGCTCTTACTGCTGCTGCTGGCGAACGCCTGCAAAACACCTCCCGGCAGTAAAACAGCATGGCCCTAAAGGACGAACCGATGCCAAAATCTACGTTTTTCGGGGCCGGAACGTCCCTTCTGAAATCCTACAAAAATCATTTTTCCACCTTATTTCCACCTTGTTAAGAACTGTTAAAAGCTGCTGGCTGCTGCTGGCTGGCTGCTAGCTGCTGCACGGCTGCCGCTGCTCTTAGCCTGCTAAACACTTCCCGGCAGTAAAACTCCCTTCTGAAATCCTACAAATCCTACAAAACTAGCGTTTTTCCACCTTATTTCCATCTTGTTACAAGCTGTTACAAGCTGCTGGCTGGCTGCTAGCTGGCTGCTTTTACTGCTGCTGCTGGCGAACGCTTGCGAAACACCTCCCGGCAGTAAAACAGCATGGCCCTAAAGGACGAACTGAGGCCAAAATCTACGTTTTTCGAGGCCGGAACGTCCCTTCTGAAATCCTACAAAAAGATCAGATTCCATCTTATTTCCACCTTGTTAAGCGCTGTTACAAGCTGCTGGCTGCTGCTGGCTGGCGGCTAGCTGCTGCACGGCTGCCGCTGCTCTTAGCCTGTTAAACACCTCCCGGCAGTAAAACTCCCTTGTGAAATCTTACAAATCCTACCAAAATATCATTTTTCCACCTTATTTCCACCTTGTTAAGAGCTGTTAAAAGCTGCTGGCTGGCTGCTAGCCGCTGCCGCTGCTCTTACTGCTACTGCTGGCGAACGCCTGCGAAACACCTCCCGGCAGTAAAACAGCATGGCCCTAAAGGACGAACCGATGCCAAAATCTACGTTTTTCGAGGCCGGAACGTCCCTTCTGAAATCCTACAAAAATATATCATTTTTCCACTTTATTTCCACCTTGTTACAAGCTGTCAAAAGCTGCTGGCTGCTGGCTGGCTGCTAGCTGCTGCACTGCTGCGGCTGCTCTTACTGCTGCTGCTGGCGAACGCCTGCAAAACACCTCCCGGTAGTAAAACAGCATGGCCCTAAAGGACGAACCGATGCCAAAATCTACGTTTTTCGGGGCCGGAACGTCCCTTCTGAAATCCTACAAAAATATCATTTTTCCACCTTATTTCCACCTTGTTAAGAGCTGTTAAAAGCTGCTGGCTGCTGGCTGGCTGCTGGCTGCTGCTGGCTGCCCTAAAGGACGAACCGATGCCAAAATCGACGTTTTTCGAGGCCGGAACGTCCCTTCTGAAATCCTACAAAAATCATTTTTCCACCTTATTTCCACCTTGTTAAGAACTGTTAAAAGCTGCTGGCTGCTGCTGGCTGGCTGCTAGCTGCTGCACGGCTGCCGCTGCTCTTAGCCTGCTAAACACTTCCCGGCAGTAAAACCCCCTTCTGAAATCCTACAAATCCTAGAAAACTAGCGTTTTTCCACCTTATTTCCACCTTGTTACAAGCTGTTACAAGCTGCTGGCTGGCTGCTAGCTGGCTGCTTTTACTGCTGCTGCTGGCGAACGCTTGCGAAACACCTCCCGGCAGTAAAACAGCATGGCCCTAAAGGACGAACTGATGCCAAAATCTACGTTTTTCGAGGCCGGAACGTCCCTTCTGAAATCCTACAAAAAGATCAGATTCCATCTTATTTCCACCTTGTTAAGCGCTGTTACAAGCTGCTGGCTGCTGCTGGCTGGCGGCTAGCTGCTGCACGGCTGCCGCTGCTCTTAGCCTGTTAAACACCTCCCGGCAGTAAAACTCCCTTCTGAAATCTTACAAATCCTACCAAAATATCATTTTTCCACCTTATTTCCACCTTGTTAAGAGCTGTTAAAAGCTGCTGGCTGGCTGCTAGCCGCTGCACTGCTGCCGCTGCTCTTACTGCTACTGCTGGCGAACGCCTGCGAAACACCTCCCGGCAGTAAAACAGCATGGCCCTGAAGGACGAACCGATGCCAAAATCTACGTTTTTCGAGGCCGGAACGTCCCTTCTGAAATCCTACAAAAATATCATTTTTCCACTTTATTTCCACCTTGTTGCAAGCTGTCAAAAGCTGCTGGCTGCTGGCTGGCTGCTAGCTGCTGCACTGCTGCGGCTGCTCTTACTGCTGCTGCTGGCGAACGCCTGCAAAACACCTCCCGGCAGTAAAACAGCATGGCCTAAAGGACGAACCGATGCCAAAATCTACGTTTTTCGGGGCCGGAACGTCCCTTCTGAAATCCTACAAAAATATCATTTTTCCACCTTATTTCCACCTTGTTAAGAGCTGTTAAAAGCTGCTGGCTGCTGGCTGGCTGCTGGCTGGCTGCTAGCTGGCTGCTAGCTGCTGCACCGCTCTTACTGCTGCTGCTGGCGAACGCCTCCGAAACACCTCCCGGCAGTAAAACAGCATGGCCCTAAAGGACGAACCGATGCCAAAATCGACGTTTTTCGAGGCCGGAACGTCCCTTCTGAAATCCTACAAAAATCATTTTTCCAGCTTATTTCCACCTTGTTAAGAGCTTTTAAAAGTTGCTGGCTGCTGCTGGCTGGCTGCTAGCTGCTGAGAGAAAATGAGCTATTTTAGCTACTTTTTCCTCATGGGAAAACACCATGGCAGAGAAGGACGGACAAGCATCAAAATTGCGACCAAAAACTCCGTAATGTAACTTCTGAAACCCATAGAAAAGGATTATTTTAGCTACTTTTTCCTCCTAATTGCGACTAAAAACTCCCTAATGTAACTTCTGAAACCCATAGAAAAGGATGATTTTAGCTACTTTTTCCTCTTGCTGCTGCTGCTGCTCCTGCTCTTGCTACTCCTTCTGTTCAAAAGACAGCCCCCGGATGGGAAAACACCATGGCAGTGAAGGACGGAAAAGCATCAAAATTGCAACCAAAAATTCCCTAATGTAACTTCTGAAACCCATAGAAAAGGATTATTTTGCAACCAAAAATTCCCTAATGTAACTTCTGAAACCCATAGAAAAGGATTATTTTAGCTACTTTTTCCTCCTGCTGCTGCTGCTGCAGCTGCCGCTGCTGGTGCTGTCGTCCGCTGCTGCTGCTGCTGCTGCTGCTGCTGGTGCTGCTGCTGCTGCTGCTGCTGCTGCTGGTGCTGCTGCTGCTACTGCTGCTGCTGCTACTGCTGCTGCTGCTGCTGCTGCTCCTGCTGCTGCTGCTGCTGCTGCTGGTGCTGCTGCTGGTGCTGCTGCTGCTGCTGCTGCGGCTGCTGCTGCGGTAGTAGTCCGAAACAAGAGTCAAAAGTATTATTCCCTGGCGCGCTCCCCCTTGCGTCTGCCGGGGTCGGCGGATATATACATAATTATATATATATATATATTTATAATTATATATTTTTGATTCCAGTCAAGGAACAATGGAAGGATAAGAACGTTTTTTTCACTGGGGAAGAAATTAGACAATTTTTAATGGTGGACAATCCTCTAATTTCTCATGTTGGAAGATCGGCCAAACTTCAGAGATGCCGATACCCGCCAGACTCACCAAGCCCCAAACATCCGATTCTTCGGAGCAGGACACACCTTGTGCCACCCACTGGGCCCTGGGAGGAGATGCAGCAGTTGTCGGATGCGATGTCCGCGCAGTTCCAACGTTTGAAGTTTGGTGGTCGTGCGGTGGTGATCACTTTCAAGCCCCGTGAAGCGTGGCGTCCCAGATTTGGATTACAAACAGCAGGGTGGTGATTTGATGAATCTGTGGCCTTGAAGGTAAGCCCGTTTTCACCTATGCTTCCTGGTAGCACTGCACAATAGCAAACTCAACTGCAGACTCATTACTCTAAGCCATCAGAGATTTTTGGCGGCCAGTTGATGCCTATGGTTTTTTCTGACGGAATTTTCTCACGGAATTTTCGCAGAGTCTCCCCATTTTTGATCCATTTCTGCGTTGCGGCAGGAGCAGGTCTTGGAAGATTGGCTGCGGCAGAACGAGGACGGCTGGGCATCTCCACTGTCCTCCATGGTGTCTCCGGATCGCCTGGGACAGCTCTTCCCACTGCTCTCCACGGTGCCTGGGAAGTTGTGCCATTGATACCCGTATACTTAGGGGGTTACAGTATGTTATAACTAGCTGGTTTATACCTGGTTTATTGGGATCATTACGACTATTGACACTGACACATTATGACTTATGTAACTTATGACTATTACTTGCCCCATACGGTAGGTGCTTTATTTGGCATTCTTATAGTTATTTCCTATTATTTTCCCCATTTCATAGCTATAAAATGCTATAAATCCAGGATAGCCATGAACCACATAGCTATAAAATGCTATAAATCCAGGATAGCCATGAACCACATAGCTATAAAATGCTATAAATCCAGGATAGCCATGAACCAAAGCCCTAAATTGCTGGGGCTTCAGGTCCAACCCTACAGCGCTCGGCGCCTGGGGCCACCCTTGCGACCGCAAGCGATGGAGCTGCGACGGAACAGTCGAGCCCGGAGCGCCATGGTGCACTGCTTCGTCAAGGAGCAGCGGCGGCCACCCTTTCAGAGGCGAAAGGCACTGGGAATGCTTGGTATAGTTAGACATCTTCCAAAACAGTCCCTGAAAGATGATAAGATCCTAAGATCCTAAGATCAAAGACCTTCATATGAAGCCTGATGAAAGTGAGTAGATCCAATAGTGAACCAGGATTTATTGAGGTATTTAATGCTAGGTTGAAGGGATTAGAAGTTGAATAAGATTGATGTATGAATTTGTGAAATGTTCTAACTTGCCCAAGAAGGTACCTGATGTTGGTGAATTCACGTGTCGTCGGAGAAGATAGTTGACATTGGAACATCCATAGGAATCCATAGGAATCCAGGTCTCTTCCATCCACCAGGTTAAGCAGAACTGTGGTGTTGGAGTCTCCATCCAAGACCAAACCTGGAGATTGGTTGTGCCGTTCGGTTGCAAAGGGTTGAGTGATCACTTTTGTGTGTTTTTTTTTGCCGTGCCGGAGCAGTGCAGATTTGCCTGATTTGTGCAACCAAACAGGGCTGCACAGTTTTTTTTTGAAATACTTTGCTAAAAGGATGTAAAAGATATCATCATCATCATCATCATCATCATCATCATAATCATAATATGATCCACAACTTTTGCACAGTTTACTTGCCCCCTGATACACCTGCTGGGTTCAGTCCACCACCCCCTGAGGTGTATCGTGCCGTGCTGAAAACATGGCAGGGCAACAGATCTGTCAGAGATGTGGTCTTGCACGCCCTTCCTGGCAAGTCCCGTGTGGGCAAAAAGCGGCACTGCGGCACTGCGTCCGAAATGGAAATGGGGGAATTGAACATCTGAGGATGGGTCAAAACCCTGGTACCTAGTGAACCCCAAAATAGTTGGTAAATGGATGTTCATCCCATTAAAAGTGTATCTATAGGTATTGACCCATACCCATCTCACTCTCCCTCTTTGTCTCCCTTTGTACCCGGCTTCATTGCTCATCGCATATGTCAACATTTTCTCCGTAGATTTGATGCATGGACTTTAAGTCTGCCTCTTGGCACAATGTCATACAGTCATACACATGGTTGATATAGTTATTGGTATTCGTTGATGTCATGAGCATATGCAGATCAAACCAACCTACATCAACCACATGCCAGGTGCGTCACAAGCTACGGCGAGATCTCTTCGGCACTGGGGCGACCGTGGACACCACGTCTGGTGGGACAGGCGTTGGGCAAATCATCGCGACTTAGCGACGGTGAATCATCCGAGACTGCTTGGACTTTCCAGTCTTGGAATTATAGTCAATTATAGTATATTATAGTCATTTTCCCAATTTTTGCTAGATAGTGGTCGTTGATTGTCATACAGCCACGGGCATTGGGTTTAGGATAGGATTGGAGCCGTTGAGGCCTTGAAGAAGAATCCCTATGCGCCCACAGTGCCATGCCACCGAGTGGTGAAAGGCGGCAGGGTGGATCTTCAACATCTGGGTGGAATGAAGAGGTGACCACGATAACCACCATGCCATGCTTCCCTACCTTTCATACATCGGGTGAACTGATTGCTTCTTGTCATTGCCCACATCGCAGCAAGCGATTTGACATCAGCACAGTTCTATAGCCTAGCGGGATTCGGTACCTTCTTTTGTCTTACTCTATCGACGGAGGCATGGTCAGATGTTTAGCAGCAATCTCGATGGACTCATCTTTCCTCATGTGAGTCTATGTCCACCAAACAATGGTACTTCCATACTCCTCAAACTGGGGTTGATCAAAAATGGGACAGATACCGATCTTACGAGGAAAATGCGAAAATGCCTCAACCCTGGGATTTTTGGACAGTAGCCCTGACAAAAAAATCGCCCAGCTGACCGCTCATTGGGCGGCTACTTTGGCGCCACGTCCCTGGAAGATGAGAAGATGAAGACCAAGGTAGGGAGGGATCGGAGGGATGAAACATGTCCAATCTGCGAGAGATCTGTGCCTGGTATGAAGCATCCCGAAATTAGGTAGATGAACATCTGAACATCCAAGAAGGGAGTCTATTTCTGTTCCATTTTGGCATGTTCATCAAAGCACCAGAGGTTTGGTCCATTCTCGTATGTATGATGGGTCTTGATCACAATCGGGTACAACAAAGGTTGGATTGTGTCATGCTGAAAAAGCTGAAAATAACCAGATCTTGTCCCCATACCTGATATGATTCAAAAGCAAGGTGATGCTATGTGATGCTATGTGATGCTAGACATCATTAGACATCCCTAGGTGCGTGCTCTTCTGGAAAGCTCAGGTTCAGCTCCTGGAATCCGAGGGCGTCCAGTTCCAAAACGCTGGCGCCGTTGCAGCCGAGTCCTTCTGGCGCTTTCCAAAGGATGTGGACCTGGAGGTGGGAGCCAAAAGTTCAGATTCTTCGTCAGGAACGTCATCATTTTGATTTCTGGAAAGATGTGAAGGTGTTATCATCAAGCTATATCAAGCTCACTAAGTTTTTTGGAACACAGGATCTATGAATAACGCCTTTAAACCATCTGCAAACTGTGATAGATACCCAGAAGAACAGGGCCATGGCCAGCTATGACAGGCAGTGGAACTTCCACCGACAAAGCATCGCAGGACCAGTGACTTGGCTGCTGTTCTTCGTGCAGTGGTGGTGGTGGCTGAAATGGTGATGAAAGTGATTTGGCAGTGTGTCAAAACCCTGGTACCTAGTGAACCCCAAATAGCTGGTAAATGGATGTTCATCCCCCTAAAAATGGTATTAATAGGTATTGATCCATACCCATTTCACCCCTTCTGTGTTGTGCTGATGTGGACTCAGAGGATCTTGAAGGGAAATCCAGGGCCTTCTATGGGGCTTGGGCTTCCAAACTCTAAGGTGATGAGCTTGCTGAAGGAGATGTCAAACCAGCAGAAAAGGGTCTGGTGCGGCTCACATCAGGAGGGGCAATGACATTCAGCCACTTTTGGGCGTCCAAATCTGACATTGGAATGAGAAAAATGGCGAGAGTAGAAGAGCCAGTCGGAGCGTTGATAGCGTTTGTATTTATCCAAGCAGAGTGATTGATATGTTTGCCACAGAAAGTGCGCTGGCAGACTGGTAGCACTGGTTTGCTTCCCACTCTGAGAGCCGTACAGGTACAGGGTGCGTTTCCAAACTTGCAGCTGAATGTAATCTCACCATGCTTCTCACACTGGATCTGTGCGATCAGTGCCCGGCCACTTGCAAATCGGTTCAGCAAGTAGTGCAAGAAAGATGGGTGCTTCAGCACAAACTGAATTGTATCTATTTTCCATTGAATGACTTCTTGGCTTGTAGCAAGGGATAGGCATAAACTTCACTGGCTTCATGTTGAAAAGTTGCCGATCCTCACTTTGATGCATTGGATACAGCAGATCAGCTGGTTTGGCCGGGCAAGTGCCAACAGGCACCATTTTCCAGCCACATCACACCAACTGGCAGGGACTACTGTTTCGAACGCCATGGCCATGTGAGCTGGGCACTGCCAGGAACACGTGTCCTGCTGAGCAGCATGGAATTCCCAATGTTTGCAACTTGATTTGGGCTTTACTCTTTGGAACCAAAAATAATTTATGTTTTTCTTGCCTTCACAATTGTGCATGCCACTGTGCTTAGATATTCAGATGCCTTGGCTTGAAGGGGAGAGCTTGAACTAACTCCTTGTTGGCATCCTTGATGTGGATGGTTTGTGGCCTAGATCTGGGCTATCAGGGCTTGGATTCCTATGCCAGAGTGCAGGCGCAGCCCCGAGTCTAACGTGTAGCGATGAAGGAGGTGCGGTGTGGGCCGGAGAATGGGCTTGGATAGCTGTGGCAGGCCAAGGATGATGAACGTTCCATGCTTCATTCATTTTGACACCTCTTGAGTGAGGAAAAACAAAGTTAAGAGACGGAGCAATCCTAAATGTTAAGCCTTTCTTAAACTTGAATTAAGAAAAATGAATCAGTGAAAGAATGGATGCTAGAGCAATGGGACGAAGAAGAACTCATGAAGAAAAAGAAGAAGCACAAGAAGAAGAAGAAGAAGAAGAAGCACAAGAAGAAGAAGAAGAAGAAGAAAGAAGAAGAAGAAGAAGAAGAAAAAGAAGAAGAAGAAGAAGAATAAGAAAAAGAAGAAGAAGAAAAAGAAGAAGAAGACGCAGAAGAAGAGGAAAAAGAAGGAGGAGGAGGAGAAGAAGAAACGACTTCACAAGTTATGATGAGGATAAGTTTACGTAAAGATCGCTATGATAGAGACATGCAATGATAGACAGACAAAGGCACTTCTAGTGATACAGACAAGATGATAAACATGATTGATTTTGTATTGCCATGCAATAACCCAAGGACCCCGGAACACGGAAAGACAGCAACCAGCCCCAACAGAGAGTCACCAAGTGCGGCCGGCGCCTTCCGCCCAAAACGCAGCACGAGGTTGACAAGAACCGCCCTTGCCACGCAAAACGTAGAAGAGAGTAGCCATGTACTTTGACTCCCATGCAGACCACACCCCAAAGCAACCAAACACTGCGCCAGTCAATGACCAAGAAGAGTTGAGATTGAATCAAGTACTGTAGAGATCAGTGCGAAAAAATAAGTATGAACGAGGCAATTTACGAAGGAAGTGAACAATATTGAGGATAGCAAAATTTGAAGAATATGAGTTGCGGTAGCGATGAATCATTATAGATAGGCGGTTATCAGGGACAGATGAGAAAAAGAAACGATCGAGATAAGTACGCAAGAGATAAGTTGTGTTAGAGACAGATATTAGTTATGATGAAAATGAGTTATGGTCAGAAATGGGTTCTGATAGAGCCAAGCAACGATGAGCTAAGTATCATAGTTTTCACAGGGACCAGGTGACGAGCTGGGAGGACGACAGGGAGGAAGCGGGAGGAGACGGTGGTGGCACTGGCTGCCGGATGCCAGACCCTCTGGCATACATAATACATATGTACGTGTATATATATATATTATATTATATATATTACTGTATATTATATATATATATATTATATTATATATATTATATATATATTATATATATATTATATATATATTATATATATATATTATATTATATATATATATATTATATATATAAATATCAATATGCAAAAATTTCAATGTAAACTTATCATTATCTACTGATTCTACTGTATCCCTATCTCCACCTATTGATACCATATGTATCGCCTTCTTTTTCATTCTTTTTTTTCCCCGTTGCTCTAGCGTCCATTTTGTATGTTTTTCTCGGTTTATCCCCAGGAAGGCTTAACACGTGTTTTATCTGCTCTTTGATTTGGGGGTCCCAAGTGTTATACTCTTTTCTTTATTTTGGAGGGTGAAGGGATTGTGGTGGACCTTGTGTGGATGAGCGCCACATCATAGTTCATGTGTGAGAGTATGTGCAATGTTGTGGGTGAATTTGGTTCAAGGTCGCTGGTCGGCCCTCGATACCTTACCATCTTACATAGTTCCGAAGTCCATCGTTGCAAATGCATTTGCAAACAGATGCTTGATCTTAAAACAAGCAAAACTCAGACATCTCAAGGGTTTCACCGCGCAGCAACCCTTCAGCTTTCCTGTTTGGCGACCTGTGTTGTGCCCATTATGGCGATGAGCATGACAGAGTCTGGGAGCTGTGCTAGCATGCTGCAACGGCAGCGCACACTGAATCAAACTGCTCTTCCAGAATTGCAAATAGATGACAGAATTCGGTGTCTGGGATGCGGTGAGATAAAAAAACACCAAATGCCATCCCTGCAATTTGTTTTTGAGGTGTCGGATGACAAGGTTTTTTGACGAAAAAACAGTGCCGAACTGAGGAGTTCCCATTGTTTCGCATCTTCTTCCTGCGTTTACCTTCTTGCCTTTCTGCTTCTCGCCATCTTGGTCCATGCGAAACTTCCAGGGCCGAGTGAGATCCAACCCACAAAATCCAGCCGGAACCCTCATGTCGACAACGCCAAATTCTTGGGGATGGTGCTGGTGTGTTGGTCACATCTTGGTGCCTGGTTTCTGAAAGGAGGAAGAGTCGATATCGCCTCGTCCGATGTGATGCTTGGTTCATTTTCATGAAATGCTCTCATTTGCACTGTTTGCCCACAAAAACAACGGACCATGCTGCTTCGTGGATCTGTTAGGCTCTTTTGCTGCCTGTTGTGATTTGGGTGATATCCCGGTGTAGCATCTTGCCAGACGTATGTGGCTTACTACAGTATTCCATAGTATTCCTTTAATTTTATTCATTTGATTGCATTCGCAGCTGCCAGGATTTGGTTTCACATGCCGCTCTTCATTTTCCTGTCTGGATCCTTTGTCCGTCCCTTCAGCCGCCAGCTGCTAATCAAGACCTTCGTGACGCTGGTGATGCCGCTGGTGTTCTCAGCCAGCAAAATTTGAGTTTTGAGTGTATCAGTGACGGGCCTGCTTGGGGGGTGCATCCCAGTTAGTAAGTGGGTAGTGACTATATGGGATACAGTACCCTAGTGACATATTGGGTTATATATAGCGGTTGCAGTTCGGCGTTGAAACAAAAAACTGCAAATCCCTGATCATTCTTTTTGCTTTAAGATATTTTTTTGGAGCGAGTCTTGCAGACTATTTGAGGCGCGCGCGCAGAAACGCTGCTTTGTTTGTTGATTGACAGGACATTATCAGACAAAAGCTGCCTGAGATCTGCAAGATGCCCAGTACTTTCACAGACTCTTTGCCAATCTTGTGCCTCACCTTGGTGCTGCCAAGGTTCTTTATCTTCATCTTGTTCCCTATGAGCATCATCCTTGCGTTTGGGTGGAGCGAGAATCCATTGCTACATCAAGAGCCAACGTATGAATCTTCAGTTTGGGATGTTCTTACTGGCTGTGGACCAGGCTACCTCACAGTAATTGGTTCTGAATGTTTTGTGGTTCTTCATTGGTCGAGGAGCCCTGTAATTGCAGGATATTGCAGGAAGTGGTCATTTCAGACATATTTCTTTGCAACTGAGGCTGGTACATTTGGTTCTTGCGCTGCTTGATTATTTGGCGCGTTGTCAGCATGTTCACCTGCCAGCTGCCCAAGAGCCTTCAGATTTCTCTTGCTGTCACCAGTGCTTGTGTCGGGATCTACCTGCCAGCACCTTGGAACCCGCAGGACGTGGGGATCTTTGCCATTCAACGTGCGCTGTGTTTGTTCCCCATCTTTGTCATGGGACAACATGTCGACTTTGGTCGATTTCTGCAGGCGATTCCCGGAGCCTCAAAAGCATCAGACCCATGTGTCCTTGTGACATGGACCTTGATACTCAGCCTGATTTACATGGAGAACACCCCGGAGTGGAGGATGGTAACGTTTGGCACCTTTGACGTTATAGCAACCAAACCTATACCGTTCTTGAGATATCCATCCGTGCCCAGTTGTCCAGATGATTATTACTTCATGTGGGCGCGCTTGTTCGCCTGCTTGGGATATCGTGTTCTTTGCATGTTCTTATTCTTGCTCTTTGGAGTGCCCCGAGAAAAGACTTGGTTTACGCAATCTGGATCCAGAACCATATATGCCTATTTGCTCCACTACCCATTCGTTTTGTTGATAAACAAAGCGCTTTGCTGGTTTGCGAATCACCATGGCTTGCAACTCTTTGGTTCTTCCAAATCCATGGAGTACTTCCACTTCATGAGACTGGCTTTCTTCCTCACTTGCTATTTTGTACTGGTGGTCTATGGATTGACATCACAGCCAGTCGTGGCGCTCTTTGGTCCTTTGATTGAACCTACTTGGATTCAGAGAATCTTTCAAAGACAAGACTCGCAGTCTTCACCGAAGGAGGTAGGGTGAATGCAGTGAGACTTGGTGCCACTAGAATTTGGATATTATGTGCTTGTCTCTGGAGCGAGGACAAAAAATGAGTGCTTTTGCTGCCAAGTTGGCTTTGAAGCCACACGAGTTTCCCTCTTTATCCACTCTGAGAAAATCTGTTGGGCGAAGGGATCCCCTGCATGCTATCCTGAAATGTTGGTTCCCCGGTATGATATTTGGCAGATCGCCTATTCCAGACTTACTTCATCTTACTTCTGTATTTGCATGTGGCCAGCGCAACTGCGACCAATTTTTTTGCCCCTTCGTCCCGCCAGGTATCAGTCAACGGCTGCGCAAACGTGCAGCGACGTTGGTAGTTGCGCCAGAAAACAGGAATCAAGTCCTGACGGCAAAATGACACCACGTATGAAGGGCGAAGATCTGCTTCTTGCTGTGCAGCTGATACAATCTGTATACAAGTTGACACTTTTCTTACGATTCAGTACGAAAATTTTCCATCTTTAGACCCAACCTAGCAGTGCACGACACAGTTTGACAAGGGTCACACTCACCGGCACCTCATAGCAGAGCTCCTGAATGCTTGTCGCTGCCGGGTCAAGCAACAAGCGGAGACATAATCCGCCACCCTTTAGTCTTCGTAGCGTCGCCTGAGGCTCGACTGGCTCGTGTTGCCTGATGTCTTATCAACTTTGTCTTGGTATTCATGGAATCTGCTATCAGGACTTGGGTCTTTCCAACAAGTGAAAAAGCACTCAAATCCATCAGAATAGACGCACATATCACATATACACATACCTCTGTATATACATGTATATACAGTATACAAACATGTATATATATATAATATTGTATATGTACACAATTTCATGTTTTACATAGTCTATGTTTGTCTCTCGTTCTCTATGTTTTTTTTCCATGTGAAAAGCCTTAGCGGCTCCAGAACAACCTGGAAAACCAGAGGCTGATCTGCCTGGCGCTGCTCCCGGCCGCCCCACGGTGTCAGCCGTGCATGGGATGTCTTGGCTGCAAGGTGCTGGAAGACTGGGGCCTGGGGGGCGGGGTAGCCCCAAATCATCCATTTATGGATGGATTTCCCATTATAAACCATCCATGTTGGGGTATCCCATTGTAGGAAACCACCATGTAGCTACCCTTTTCAGAAAACTTGTTGTATTCGAATCCGACATTTCCGTGGTGAATTCACACTTCTCTGCATGTTTTCGGGGACTAAGACACAAAATGGATGGTTTCATAATGTACACACTTCAAGAATGGGCAAATTTGTGGATCTATTGGTACAATGATTTTGACTCATGCCCATACTCATAAGTTAGTTCTCTACGTCTAAATGGAGCTTGATGAGCTTAGCATCAGGCAGGTATTTGAACCAGTTTGTTTGAACAAGATGAGCCGGCTATGGTAAAGCTGTGACCGGTTGGACTCTGCAACGCTGAAGCGGAAAGAGCTTCAAGGAACTTTGGAAAGGTATGTGCCACCAGACCGACCTTTATCAGCTACCAGCTACTTTACAGACTGCATCAGTTGGCCTTACCCTTTTCCAAATGTTTAGTTTATATGCATTTTGTTTGTTTTGCCATCATCGTATGGTCAGTGTCTGTGACTGCTACAGCATGTACTTCGTTCCATCCCCCAAAAATGGAGCACGTTTTGAATTCCATGAAGCCTCGCTAGATCTCAGCTTCCTTTCAACCAAACAATCCGCACAAAAGTCTCTCAAAGAGTTTCAATCCCCCCAATCCCCCATCCCTATCCCCACCCCTACCATCCCTGCCATCCCAACCAGCCCCATCCCTATCCCCTACCATCCCAACCCTCCCCATCCCCCAACTGCTCCAGGTTCGCCAGGTCGAAGCTGCGGTGAAAGTGCGCCCGGCTGGTTTTGGTGGGCGAAACGTTATTTTGTTGGTTATATATAATATAGTTATAGTCATAGTATGTTATATTATAGTTATAGTCATAGTATGTTATAGTTATATAATTAATATGTATGTATTATATATATTTTTTTTATATCTCAAGGTTCAAAGTGACTGTACGTCGCGGCCTATGCTGTAAATTCCAGAGTTGATCCTCATCCTGCATAGTCAGGGCCTATGTGAAGGCTGTACTCTTTTACAATGATTTGGTCACGCCTGGCCATATCTGAACTAATGATACTAATGCAGATGGAAGGGTCAACAGGACAATGCTGAATCCTGTCCGCAAAGCTCGCAGCTAGTGCTTTGCACATAGCCGGCGGGTACTCTTTGAGACCCGAGGTAAGCCAGCGTGCCTCTGAGTCCTTCCCAATCGAGGGTTTCTGTGGAATTTCATCACAAACCCTACCTTTCCAAAGTCGCTCCGCAAGATGAGGAAGGTTGAGAGTCAAAACCGAAGTTGGTTTTGGGGATCTTGCCCCCAATAGACCTTGTGCAAAGTCCACACGTTGAACACCAGGCAATTGGCATAGAAGCTCAGCAATTGCAGTCCTCCAGATCGATGCCGAGTCAACCTTGGCTGGTGGGGCTGGATGCCCAAGCGCTCCACAGTCGCCGGTGCCATGCCGCAGGATCATCATGTGAAAGGAAAAGAGCAAAGGCTGGTTTCCAATGAGAACTTGCCGAACTTCTCTAACCGCTAGGCTCTGTTTGCCCCATAGTTCCTCCGGTCGCCGACTTTCTCAGCTGCCACCTCTCGAGCCTTGCTCCACGTCTCGCAAGGAGGACCCGCCAGGTAGGCCAGCACGAATCGCTGGCGAACAGTATTGCTGACACTCAGTCGACGTGACATCATCCCACTTAGTATATATATATATAGAGTGTGATTTGGTTAGTGATATTTAGCTGTATTCATGTTGGTACAAATATGGCTACGGTACTTTTACAGCCAATTGTATAATTTAGCGGTTGATACTATATAGCCTAGCCGATATTTTTGTTGGCTTTGCTGACATTTCAAATCGTTCGATCCAGCAAGCCAAATAGCTATGGGCAATAGGGGGTCAAAGGGGCCCTAAAAGTCTACAGACTCACTGAGCCTTCTTCAAAACATTGAAAGCTCATGATCAGTAATGTTGGATGACGCTATTGGATCAATCCTTGGCAATAATGTTGGACAACGATACATCAAGGCATATCAAGGCTCCCATTGAAACTTCTACAGAATCCCAGAGTGGGTTGAAGTGAGCACTGACAGGAACCCCCTGGACTTGGGGCTGTTCCCATGAATCCATCCAGTGCCAGGAGCCGCTCCCTGCTTCCTTACAAAAGGCCCCGCGGGGCAGGCCAGGGATGCTGAAGCGATGGATTTCTTTTTGGGTTTCATGCGATGTCCATGGGGTTTTGATGGCATTTTTATGTTGGTATCCTGCACTCTTGAAAACACCAGTGCGTTGACTGATTGGTAATTTCAAACATGCTTTGGTTAGTTCGACCCCGGTGGGAAAACGATCTTATGACCATTTCTGACCCCTACTTGACGCATGGCATAATTTTTGAAACTGGGTGACTCAATCACAAACCAATTGAGTTCCGTCCCATTTTTCCTGTCCAGGTTCGCTGGTGCTCTGCCACGGCCAGAAGAAGGTGCGGTAGTGCCACAACGGATATAACTGGCCCGGGGGCAGTAGTCTGACTGCACCTATGACCTATGACCGACTTGGGACCTCGAGTGTAGCTCAAACAATATTTATTCCCCTAAAAAGTCAGATAAGTTTCCAGCGCACTCAGAGATAGGTTGATATTCTTTAGTACCTACCCTCTGGTAAACGTTTACATAACTATGGAAAATCACCATTTTCAATGGATAAATCCACTATAAATCACCATGTTCAATAGATATGTCCACTATAAATCACCATTTTCAATGGGAAATTCCACTATAAATGGTCATTTTCAATAGCTATTTTGACATAACCAGAGGCTACCCATCCAACGATCCACCTTTATTGGACAGGCCGCAGAGACTTCGCGCGAATCTTCTTCGCAGACCAGCGGAAGGACGCCACACTGTCTTCGATAGAAATAGCTTGTTCACTGCAAGACAAAAGCTGCTATATATATATTGGATATATATATATATATAATTATATATATACTGTATAAAGCTCAGCTGTGCGGCTAAGTGACCCTTGAATTCCGATGCGATCTTACATTGTTCTTTGCATGTCTCTGAGGCACAATCTTTGTGAGATAGATAGATAGATAGATAGATAGATAGATAGATATTATCAAAATCATATCATATCACTATTTCCTATCATACCATATCATGCACAATATATAAATAGACAAGATTGGTCCACGACCTTTGCATGACTCGGCAGATCTTCTTCCTTGGGCCCAACATGACGAGCATGATGCCTCTACAGTAGTGAGCTTAGCTGCTGATGATGCGGGGGGTTCCGCCGGGAGGCTTCCTGGGATGTATATCTTCAGGATATCTGGCTATGTCTACATGTACAATGTACAGAGTCTCATGTCTCATGTATCAAATATGTATGTATAGATATTGCGTATGGAGATAGATAAGGGGAATAGAATAGAAAATAGAATTGATTAGAGATTAGATTAGAGAATAGATTGCAGTAGATTAGGGAATAGAATAGAGAATAGAATAGGATTAAATAGGATAGATGGATAGATGTCGAGATCGGCAATTTTGGAATCGAGATGCGAGGCCTACAGGCGGGCCGAGCTCGGCACACATCGGCGACCTCAACGAGCAGGTGAGAGCACCCGCCGGGCCACGGTTGGGGAGACGTGGTGGATTTAACCGTTAGAAATGGTGGTACTTTCATGTTTTTTTTTTCATATAATGAGACTTAATGTGGGACATTATTGGGACTTTACTAGGACTTTTCATTGGGAATACAATGGGATATACAGTCAAACATGACTGGCTCGGAAATCCTTGAACTAAATGACGGTTTATAGCTGGGAATATCATCGAACTTTTGCTGGGCGATGTTGATAGCTATATTATATAGCAATGTTTGATTACTAGTGGGTAAGGTAAATATATGAGAATCCAAAATGGGGCTGTAAACATCAAAAGTGGGATGAAATGGGGATAATTGGGACCAACCATCAACAATTGGTATGGATCAAAACCAATTTTTTCCATAACATTTGCTGGGTGTTCCAAGAACACCAGCTATTTTGGTGTGAACAGAAGGGTAGAAGGGCTTTGACTCATACCTATATTGCATTTAAAAGGGGCAGATTTCATGATTTATGGCCCTTGGTGTCCCTGGTTGGTCTGTCCGTTGAGGTGGTCGACAAAGCAGAGAGTCTCTTCAAGGAGAGCCTTTTGAAGCAGTTGGAGCAGGCACCCCACGGGGCCCATGCTTGGGAGCTCAAAAGCTTTGAGCCGCACATTCCAAAAATGTTGGTTCTCTTGCTCAAAGTGTTCCAAAGCTATGAACCAGTGAAAAAAACAGTAAAGATTGACAAAACCAGCTGGCCATTATTAACCAGTAAAGATTAACCAGTAAAGATTAACCAGCTATGAACCAGCTATGAACCAGGTGACACATCTGCTGCATCTGCTGATCTGCCAGGCCATTGGGCCACCCAAGAAGGAGCTCCTGGAGGCCTTTCATCGCGTGAACTTCGTTGGATTGTATAGCCACAATTGGGGATCGAAAATCCACTTATAATATATATATATATTATACTATATATACGTATATATATATATATACATAAAATGATAATAATAACAATAAGATATATACATCATATATATATATATAATAATTTGTATATATATATATATATATTAATAATATATATATAATAATGAAACCATTAATAATTTTAGCAATAATTTTAATAATAATAATAATAGTATATCTATATTATAGTATAATAGATAAATATTTTATAATGTATATGTATTATATTAAAATATGATATAATATACTATTTTATTTAAAATATAAAATAAAATATATATAATATAGGATATGTAAAATATATAATATTCCCCAACAGCAGAATGCTTTGGGGTCTTCAGCCATAGTAAAGGTTTCGGAGCAGACCGGAGCACCTCCAAAACCCATTCCCCCAAGGTTCCCAGGTTCCAAGTAAAGGTTCCGAAGTAAAGGCTCCCAAGTAAAGGTTCCCAAGTAAAGGTTCCCAAGTAAAGGTTCCCAAGTAAAGGTTCCCAAGTAAAGGTTCCCAGGTTCCCAAGTAAAGGTTCCCAAGGTTCCCAAGGTTCGCTCAAGGTTCCCAAGGTTCCCAAGGTTCGCTCAAGGTTCCAAGGTTCCCAAGGTTCCTCAAGGTTCCCTCACGGTTCCCAAAAGGTTCCCAAAAGGTTCCCTCAAGGTTCCTTCAGGGTTCCCTGCAAGGATCCCAAGTTTTCCAAGTAAAGGTTGTCAAGGTTCCCAAGATTATTATGTAAAGGTTCCCAAGTAAACGTGGTCCAGGTTCCCAAGGTGACATTGTAAAGGTTTCTAAAAGATTCCCAAGGTTAGATTGTCAAGGTTCCCTCAAGGTTCCCAAAAGGTATCCTCAAGGTTCCTTCAAGGTTTCTTCAAGGTTTTTTCAAGGTTCCCTGAAGGTTCCCAAGTTTTCCAAGGTTCCTAAGGTTGTATTGTAAAGGTTCCTTCAAGGTTCCCAAGGTTACATTGTAAAAGGTTTTCAAGGGTTCCAAGGTTATATTGTCAAGGTTTCCTCAAGCTTTCCAAGGTTGCATTGTAAAGGTTCCCTCAAGGTTCCCAAGGTTACATTGTAAAGGTTCTCAAGGGTTCCAAGGTTATATTGTCAAGGTTTCCTCAAGCTTTTTGCGAGGTTGCATTGTAAAGGTTCCCTCAAGATTCCCAAGTTTCCCAAGTAAAGGTTGTCAAGGTTCCCAAGGTTGTATTGTAAAGGTTCCCTCAAGGTTCCCAAGGTTGTATTTGTAAAGGGTCCCTAAGGTTCCCAAGTTGTCCACGTAAATATTCTCAAGGTCACCAAGGTTCCCAAGGTTATTATGAAGGTTCCCAAGTACAATAGTAATATTCGTCGTAATATATAAATTTCTTGAAGATATTGATGCGGCTACACCGCGCGGAAACCCGCGCAGAACAACGCGCGGAACCGCGCAAAACAGCCCCGCATTAACGCGCCATAACGCGAGGAAACCGCGCGAAAAAAC